GGCGGCGATGCGCAGAACTCGAAGAAACAGCTATTGCTGGCGCGTTCCGTGCTGGAAATTGCGGTGGAGCACAGTGTCCTTAACAAGGATCTGCTCGCCTTCGAGCGCTACATGTCACAGCTGAAGTGCTATTACTACGATTATGCCAAAATCATTGGCGAATCGGACAGCAAATACAAATTGTTGGGCCTCAATCTGCTCTATTTGCTTTCCGGCAATCGTGTATCCGATTTCCATACAGAACTGGAGCTGCTCTCGGTTGATATCATACAGCACAATCAGTTCATACGACCCATTCTGGCGCTGGAGCAGTACATCATGGAGGGACGCTACAACAAGATATTTCAGGCCAAATCCTCGATGCCCGCCGAGGTGTATAATTATTTTATGGATTTGCTGGTGGAGACGGTGCGCGATGAAATCGGCGCCTGCATTGAGATGTCCTACGAGAAGATATCGGCCAAGGATGCCGCCAAGCGTCTGAATCTCCGAGTCCCTGACGAGATTAAGGCATTTGGCGAGAAACGTCAATGGAAGCTGGAAAGCAATGGCAATTACAGCTTCACCGATAGAAGCATCAAGCCCAAGGAGCTGCTGCCATCCGAGGAGCTGGCCGAGCAGGTGCTCAGCTATGCGCGCGACCTGGAAATGATAGTTTAAACCTTGTAATAAATAATATCTAAAAGAATAAAGTCAAATATTTTCTATTTAATGGACAACATAAAGGAAATGTGACCAGCTGCAACGATGTTTGCCTCACGATTTAATCGATTAATCGTGTAACGCGCAAAATCGATAGTTTGACTCTGGAGCACATCACTAATTTGTGGGAACGAACGGGTGGAGAAAAATTGTCATCGCTCGCTGCGATTTATTGTGATAAAATTAGTGAAAAGGCAACGCAAATAAGTTGAAAAATCAACGCAATGGCCTGCAACGCAAGCAAGACGCACCTCTTGCGCGCTATCGCTGTAAGTACTTATATCATTTGCTGCAACTTAACCAAACAAATTGTCGACCAATGTGAATTTTGCGTTCGGCCCAAATCGTGTTACGTAAAAGTTAAAGTTGCAATTTTGTTTGTGTTTCACTAGAAACGCGGTTATGCCACCTGCCCACGCCTCGTCGGCGACACTTCACCCATCAATGTCAACGTGCTCGAGAACAAGCTGGTCGTGGCCACAGCCGATGCCTCGGTGCCCGTTTCCCGTGTCTCGATTGTGTTGCGGTAAGTCTCGATGCCGCCTCCAATTACGGCTCCCGACTATAATTGTCTGGTTGCAGCGCCGGCTCCCGCTACGAGGCCTACGACACGCTGGGCGCCTCGCATCTGCTGCGTCTGGCTGGCAGCCTGAGCACGCAGAGATCCTCGGCATTTGCGATTGCCCGTCACATTCAGCAGGTGGGCGGCACCTTGACCACCTGGGGTGATCGCGAGCTGGTTGGCTATACCGTCGAGACGACCTCGGATAATGTGGAGACCGGTCTGCGCTATCTGCAAGATCTGCTGCAGCCCGCCTTCAAGCCCTGGGAGCTGAAGGACAATGCCAAGACGCTGCACAACCAGCTGGATGCCGTCACAACCGAGGTGTGTGCATAATGCAGTCATTTATGAGTCGTACAACAATTCGCAACTCTTGAACTCATCTTGCAGGAACGCGCCATTGAGCTGGTGCACAAGGCCGCCTTCCGTCGCGGCCTGGGCAACTCCATCTATATACCCAGATTCCAGTTGGGCAAAATCTCCAGCGAGAGCCTACTGCACTATGTGGCCAACACTTTTTCGGCCGGCACCGCAGCCGTTGTTGGCGTCGGTGTTGAGAACAATCTGCTGTCCGGCTTTGCCCAGACCCTTAGCTTCCCCAGCGGCGGCGGCGACAGCAAGAGCAGCGCCAACTATTACGGCGGTGATGCGCGCAAGGACACGGCGGGACATCGCGCCGTTGTCGCTGTTGCCGGCGAAGGTGGCGCCGCTAGCAACCACAAGGAAGCGCTGGCATTCGCCATACTAGAGCAGGCAATTGGCGGCGACGCTGCCACCAAGCGTGGCAAGTCGGCCGGCGCCTTCAGCGAGGCTGCCAGCTGCGCGAGCGATGCGCCCGTTGCATTGAAGGCCATCAACAAGAGCTACTTGGATGCTGGCCTCTTTGGCTTTGTGGCGTCTGCCGATAGCAAGGATATTGGCAAGACTGTTGAGTTTCTGGTGCGCGCTCTCAAGTCCGGCTCCGTCTCCGACAAGGATGTGGCACGCGGCAAGGCGCTGCTCAAGTCGCGCATCATCTCCAACTACTCCTCCGACAGCGGCCTGATCAAGCAGATTGGTCGCCAGGCGGCATTGACCAGAACCGTTTTGGAAGCCGACGCCCTGGTGGCTGCCATCGATGGCATCTCGCTTGACCAGGTGCAGGCGGCTGCCAAAAAGGTTGCCGGCTCCAAGCTGTCTGTCGGCGCCATCGGCCACCTGGCCAATGTGCCCTACGCATCCGATTTGGCTTAAGTAGATAATCTTGTTAACTGTATATGTAATTTAAACCCTGCCGGCGAGATCTAACGAAATAAACCTGTTGGTAGTCACGAAATCGATACAAAGTGCGACTCTTGAGCGATCTGATCTGATATGGGAAATGTCAAGGATCCTGGCGCATGTGTCTACAGGTAAGTGAGCCAAGGTAAGACTCAGGTCTGAACAGCTTTTCCGTACATTTATTAAACACATTTCCATAGTAAAATTTCGTAATTAAAAGTAGACAAAAAACAGTTCACTTCGGCTAGCCGAATACTCAATGCCCCTACAGAGATATAGAAAATATCTCTACAGTTTCTATATAACTGATATATCTATATATATATATATATTACATAATATAGTATTACAATGTTAATTTATTGTTAATGCGTTTCGGGAGCTCAATGAAGCTAGTTGCAGTTGGAATATTTTCGAAATATCTTTTACGATGTATAGCTTAGGATATAGCTGCACGATCTATATTCATATCGGAGTTAAGCAGACATGGAAACAAACGGACGGATAAGCTTACAATATTCCGCAGGGGCATTTGTCGACATACGATCCCTGACCTTTGTATATAAATATCTTTTGGATACGCTCCAGAAACATCTTTGGAAAATGGAAATATAACATAGTATATAGAACACCTGTATATGCATATATGCATATATATATATGTATATATAGGTATGTGTATAGATTAGACGCAGATTAGTGGAGAGTTCCCTGTCCTACAGAAGGATGACCACAATTATGGCCACAAAGAGCGAGACAATGACCAGCCAGTAGCCCCAGGTGCTGTCGCGTCTGTTCACCTGGCTGATGCTGCGCGTCTCGCGCTGCACGCCCAACTCCACGCGATCCATGGTATTGGCCAGATTGTCCAATATGTTGTTCTGGTCCTCCACCTCGTCGCCAAGCTGTGTGGCCAGATTGCGCTGGCGCGATATGGTGGCCGACAGCACCTCCAGGCCACGGTTCTGATGCTCCAGAATCGCTTCCTGCTGCTGCCTAAGCGTGGCCACATCTTGCGGCCGACCTGGCGCTGCGACGGACGCACCCTGCCACACAGAGCTCGAGCTAGCCGGCAGCTGGTCGGCGCGTGTGCTGGTCGTGTAATTGGCATCGGCTTCGCGCAGCTGCGATGCCAGCTTATCGTAGTTGATGCGACGCCGCTGCAGCTCCTCGGCCGGACACAGCTCCCAGAGGATGTCGTTGTCCAGCGCCACTTTCAGATGGCTCACATCTTTGCGCAGCTGCTCCAGGCTGGCCTCAATGCTGCTGCTCAGTCGGACGTATTCCGGCGCGGCGGCTGTGCCGCCCAGTTGCCGCCGCTGATTGAGCAGCACCAGAATCTGATGTCGCAAGCGTTCGCAGCCCTCATACTCGATGTCCCTGCAAGTGGAGGCGGGCTATTAAACGAATTACTTTACGGCACACACCCGCATACCATGAGTCATGATCCACCAGCGACATGTTCGTTGCAAGTCTTTATCGCAGTCAGTTAGAGCATTTGTAGGCGTTCTTTAGAGCGTTGCAAACTGCGTTGTTTTCCTTTTGTTTCCAATGTTAATTTAACAGACATCAGCTGTTCGCTTAACAGCGCTGCTGTTATTAACATTGGTTGCCTTTAACTGTGCACGCGTTTTACAGTCGCATTTTGTTAGTGCCAATGCAAATAAACTTAGTTAGTTAACATTTCAGTAACAGCGGCAGTGTTGCCAGTTTCTCACGTTTCCAGCTAGATTTGGCTTTTTATGGTGAAATTGTAGAAAACTGTTTGTAAAAACTGTCAGCAGAAACTGTCAAATTCAAATTTGTTATATTTTATTTTTGAACACTTTAATGACAACTTTAAGGCTTAAGGTATATATATCTTGGTAAAAATTTATATATACACTTTCAAAAAGAGCTGTTAGTTCTCAAAATATTTATATAGATAAATTTAAATTTAAAGAATATTATTTAATATAATTATTATATTTGTTCCTACGATTGTTTTAAAAAGAGTACATTTGGCCTTTTCACAACTGTTCCCCCAAAACTGGCTTGTTTTACCGCTAAAAAAGTTGGCAGCACTAAGCCGAAGCCAATAACAGCTCAGCGCAACCGGGCTGTACAAGCAACAGCAGTCAAGCAGCTGTTCGCTCGCTTTTACGCTTAACATTGTGTTTACAGAAACGTTTTACAGCATTGCTTGTGTTCAAATAATATATATAATATAATATATGATATGAACTATAATTAAATCGATTTGGTAATGCTTTCTAACATAATATGCTTTTCTCTGTGCAGGTCAGCTCAACAAATGCAATACATTTTGCTGCCATCTGCTGTGAACAGCATACCATACATAACATTGGAATAGTGGCTGTAACAGCATTTGCCGACATCTGCTACTGCCCACAATTTCCAACACTCACGCACACTGATGTACAACCCAACACTACAACCAAATCATTATTTACGTTAAAAATAATTCCGTGCTGTGCCGTGTGGGTTCGTTGTCATTTCTTTGATAAAATTTTGAATTGAAAATCACCGTTACATATATCAGAAACGATCCCGTTGGCCAGTTTAGTTAATTAGTCAGTTTCGTGTTAATTGAGAAAAAGCCAAAAATTGTTACGTCACATGAAAATTTCGGTGCGGAAAAGTGTTTGTGCGTGTTGATTTCCCCTCAGCAGTGATTGCGGTACCTTTTTATAGACGACGCGCGCTGCATGTGCTGCAACAAACACACACACACACACACGCACACGCACGCACACACTTATATACATGTGTGATATTTGAAATGTTCGAGCGTGCGTAAGATAGAGTTTGTGTTATTATTGGAGGACATACAGTAGTCGGTGCTTAGAATTTCATTTGCATGTGGAACTGTCGTTATTTTCGAGGGGTCTCATATTCACTTGTAATTGTGATTCGTAGGAAGTAAGATCTCTAGTAGTATAAAAATAAAAATAAAATAGTGTAATTTCAACTTCAAATCGGAACGCAACATAAGAAAACAACAACAAACAAGAACAACACACTCGAACCACCAATTAACAACATTAACCGTTAACCGTCGCGCATCCGTCAAACTTTAACCGTCTTTTACGCATTGAGTAATAAGAGCACAAAGAAAAAATAGAAAAGAAAAAAAAACTAAAGCAGCAACGTAACTCCGTAACGTATCAAGAACGCGTCCCGTCTCCCGAATTGTAATTGTGTGTGTGCGAATGCAACAGCAACAAGAATCTCTCTTCAAGCAACAAGACATAACGTAACGCTGCGTATAACGGTAAGTGTGATTCAAGAGGGGGAGGGGGAGCTGCTTTATTATTTTATTTATTTTTTTTTTTTTTTGGGAATAAACGCAATTGGTAGTTTAGTTGGCGGGCACTTCGGTGGCGAAAATTCTATGCATGCAACTCGTTTTTCCAGCAGAACACACGCACCTCTCCTCTGTCTGTGTGTGTAGCGGAAAACGTGTATTTGTAAGAAAAACCAGAAAATCGAAACCGGGAATTGGGTCAGTATGTCAAGCAAGCGACCGGGTAGGGGGGAAAGGTTCTTTGCTTTGGCTCTAACTCTGCTGGCTAAAACGGGTATTAGTCAACACTTGACGCTAGACCGACCGGTGGCTGCCAGCATCCAACTGGGCATACGTATGTGCATGTGTGTGTGTGTGTGTGTGTGTGCGCTTGTGTGCGTTGCTGTCTGATTGTCACTCGCGCGTGGTTTTTCTTTTGCTTGGCATTTCGTTGCGCGTTCGCTCTCTGCCTCTCACTCTCGCTCATTTTTGGCCATTCGGCTCAGTTGATCTTGCATGGTGTCGACGCGTCGCCGTCGGCTGCAGCAGCAGCGCATTTACCTTGAGCGCGCCTGCACTTGTCACGTCTCCCAAATGCTCGCGCGCTCACTTGCTCTCCCGCTCTCGCGCGCGCTCTCTCTCTCTCTCTCTCTCTCAATGTGCTACGTTTTCTTATTGGATTTTGTTGAACTTCTAAAGTGGTGGCAACACCTTTCGAAACACTAACTGGCCAGTTAGGCGCCCCGGGTCCGCTTTTCATGTTTGCTAATAAAATTATTACGATTTATCCGACTGTTGCTAATGCGTTTTAAGGTCGACTCTGTCGTCTCTCCATACCAAACTCTTGGCTGCTGACCCATTAAAACGTCTTTCACATGATACGCGCCGCTTACATTTCGCGGTCCATTTAACAGTGTTCAAAGCTGGGGGGCCTGCCAGACGGGGCGGGTCGGTCTACTGGGCCTAGGTTAGGCTCGTCGCTGATTTGTGATTTATTCTCTAGAGGTTTTTCTTTTTACTTGACGACTAAGCAAATTTATCAAGAGCTTTTGGCGCACAGTAAGTGACTAAGCTATGCTCTAACTTGTTTAATATCCAATTGGTATGCCAATTAGTATTTGTATTCATGTTAATTTTCAACTAAGCTAAAACGTTTTGGTTTTAGCCCATTGCATTAAATTAAAGATCGTCGAAATTATGCCCTATGACTTATTGGGTCACAAATATCTCCCCACTGTTTGTTACACATACTTCTGCATAACTTTGATACCCTTATTACCCAATAATAAACAACCAGGAAGAGTGAACAGGCCAGAGAACCTTACACACACACACACAGGCAGTGGGGGGTAAGAGTGAGTGAGAGAGAGGCATAACTCACGCAAGACGACATTTGCTCTATTTACGGCTGCTCTGGCATACTAGTTCAACTAGGAATTGCTTCCTGTCGCCCACGCACATGTTAAAGCTTGCGTTCTCGTGCTCAACGCAGCCGACAGGCGCTTGGGCTGCGTAAGAGAGCGAAAGAGAGCCGAACAAAAGCTGACGCTGCTGCATTGGGGTTGGCTGCTCGTCTCCCATGATTTTTGCACTTAAGAGCGAAAAGTGGCTTTGATTTTTTGTGTTTACAATGCTGTCGTGTGTGGGAGGATTGGGAGTGAGAGTGCTAGATATGCGGCACACATTTGCATGTCGCTCTCCCGCTCTGGCAAAAAGCATGCGGGATACAAGCAAAATGTTAACCTATATATTTTTTGTAGTTGCCAATACAACAGTAAAAACGTGGTGCGCCCAGCGCCACCCCCACAAATAGCGTTACGACGACGGCGGCGACGTCGAGTTGAAGGTTCCTTCTTTTTTTTTTTTATATAAATTAAAACTGTTTTTAGGCGACGACGTGCTCCACGAGCGTCGCGCGTCGAACGGCAGGAAGCTTTTGTTGAGCGCGCTGCTGCTGCTGTTGCTGCTGCTGCTGCTGCTGCTGCTGTTGACGCTGCTTTGAATTTGATGTTAAGTATACGCATCAGTGAACTCAATTTAATTATCATGATTGTTTTTCTCGCTGTCTTCTCGCTGTGTATGCTGAAAAATTCAAATTTGCCAACTTCGCACACACACACACACACACACACACACAGAGACACACACACGTCCGGCAGTTGGCAGTTCGTCGGTTCCCAGACAGATTTTCAGCGTTGCTGCCGCTTATGTAATCAAGAGCTTTACAAAAAAGTTAAAAAAAAAAAAACAAACTACGTTAAGTTGATAAAAGCGCTGGCCACAACTACGTGCATACGTTTGTCTGTGTGCACGCCCTTCGCCCAGTTTTTATCAGCGCGTTATTTATGCGCCTTTGCCATGACAGATAGAACACAGCGACAGCGCAGCAGCAGCGGCAGTAACAACAATAAGTTTTTGAAGTGCAGCGTAGCGCAAAGAGAAAATAAAACTGTTGTTGTTACTTTTATAGAAGCCAAAAGCCCAAACGAAAAGCAATTAAGTCGCCATGGCTCATTGCACAATAAGCGAAGAATCAAAAAAACAAAAAAAAAAAAAAACAATAAATTTTTTTTAAAAAATAAACGCACGCAGCAGCAGCGGCAAACATAACTGTGTTTGCTTGGCCAGCCATAGCGTGCATGGACGTCAACGTCGCTGCCAGCGTCACAACTCTAATCGCGTGAGAGCGGCAGCGAGAGTGAGAGCAAGAGTGTGGGAGTTTAAAGCGCGAGAGTGTGTTGTTGCCGCTGCTGCTTAATAAATAGGCCAAATATGTAATATCGCTAAAATGTGTTTATTGTAATCTTTTTCACACACACACACGTACACACACACACACATAAATGCTCTCGCACGTGCATTGCATCCCTCGTTACGTTTCGTGTGCTCAGGCAAAAAGAGCGCCAAAACGAAAAGGGAGCGCAAGAGAACAAAAACGAGCGTGCAGCCAATAGCCGAATGTCAAACGAATGGCGCTGCTGGCGTCGCTGCTGCTGCCGCTGCTTTGTGGGGGCCCAGTTGGTCGCGTTGCTGCGCTCGTGTGTTGGCTGAGTCGTTGTTCTACCGTCGTGATTGCAACACTTCTGCTTCTGCCACACACACTCTCGCCGTCATATAGCCGTCGCCAGTTTCGCAGTCGCAACGTTTTTCACGTTTTTTGATTTTTCAACTCAACTACTACGCGTACGTCGACGTCGCAGTCGCAGCAGAAGCAGCAGCAGCAGCAGCAACAGCAGCAGCTCGTACGTTAGACGACATTTTAACGTGCACGCTTGTGTATATGTGCGTGTGTGTGTGTGTGAGTGTATGTGTGTGCCAGTTTTCGTGCGTTCTGTGCTGCAACAACAACAGTTACCACACCAGCGTCGTTTAAAAATATAAACTGCGTTTTTTTCGCCAAAAAAGCCATAAAAAAAAATTATTTTCTGTTAAGCATTAGCCAGGCCCAGGCCAGACGAAAAGTCAACGACAGCAACAATAAGAACAAGAATAACATTAAAAAAAAAAACACACACACACACAATTTTTGCCTGGCCAACTGAGCCCAGGCGAGCGACAAAAACAGAAAACGGCGGCGGGCACAAATACATATAAACGCACACGTACACACACATACATGAAAATTGTGTGTGAACGTACTTGATTTTGGTTCTCTAGCTGTTGTTGTTGTTGTGACCGTTGGCGATTTTCAGCAGAAAAAAAAAATGATATTACGACAACAACAACAACAACAACAAGACGGCCAGTGGCGGGGCAAAAGGAGCACATTTTAATGCGTGACACACAAAAATTGTTGTTTTCAATTGAAACAATTTTTGTGTATACCCAGCGTGCGAAAAGCAACCCCCCGCCCGAACTCCTCCTCTCTAGCCCCTTTGGCTCACCACCTCCCCTCACAAATAGTCAGCGACGGCTCTCTTCTCGCTTGCTTGTGTGTGTGTGTGCCGCTTCTCTTCGTCCTTATCCCACCTCCAACCCCCCTCATCCGCCTGCTTGGCCGCTTCATCACGTACTCGCAGCGTCGTCCCTTGCGTATTGCCATTTGCACACGTTGCGTATACGTAACGTAGTGGCCATAAACAACTACAGTGAAAGCTCCAAGCACGATTAGCTGCCATTTCGCAGAGTTTTCTTTTCGTACAAAAGCTATTGATAATCAAGGTCAAAATAAGTTTTGAATTAATTTCAGCGCGGTTTCACTGTACACTCGCACTCACACTATGCTTTATACCCTTACGCTTTGAAGAGTTCGTGCTCGCATGCAGAGCGCATAGAAATTGCGTTTGTTTTCATGTTGGCATTTTGACTGCCCTTTGATGAGTTGATAAACGAGCCAGATTAGCCCCCACCCCCTCTTTCTGATACCCTTCCGGCCATCGCACACACACGCACATAAAAAAATATGATTGAAATGTGTTAAAATCAAAATTTGCATTTCTGCCAAAGAATTACTCAAAGCGCACGCGTTATGGTGAAACAGCCACAACAATAATAGAATATATTTAACAAAAAAGGTGCTAATATATTTTTAAGTAGCCAATTAAATATTTGGCTCAAAATCCGCATAAAATTGAAATAATTGAATCAAAAAACAAGGAAAGTGTAAAAAATATCAACAAGGAAAGCGAAAAAGGAACGAGAGGTAAAAGAAATGTGCTCTTAAAATAGATTTATATTTAGTTGCATTCGAAATCTTCAAAAAAAAAAAAAAACAAAAAGTTGCGACACATTCGAAATAACCCACGCGACGGCATCGAGAAGCGTTGAGAATCTTTGGGAATTGTTGGGAAATCGTTGGGAAATCGTTGACAAAATAAACGAGAACCGACGGCGACTGGGAAACGTGTCGCCAGGGACCGAGCGACTGCGGCATTTGCGGAGGCGCCGTTTTCTCACATAAGGGGTGCTCCCAGCTCTTTTCTCATTACTTTACGAAATATTCGTTTGAGGGGGGAGGACATAAAGATAATCTATAGCTAAAGAAAAAT